GGGACTCGATCCCAGGACTCCAGGATCATGACCTGAGCCAAAGGCAGTCGCTTAACCAACTGAGCCACCCAGGTGCCCGCCCATTTATCTTCTATAGCAAGGGAGTCACCTGCGTCTGAAATTTTTAAGAAGCGGTCGGTGACGTGCGGGTTTTGGGGGAGCTGGGGGTGCCTTGTGAAGTCTTTCCTTGTCTGTTTGTCCTTGGCAGTTCAGTGGAGTCTTCTGGAAAAGTAGAAGCTTGACTGCAAATGCAAATCCTCGACGTGCCCAGCAGGAGGACAAGACTCGCCTGCTGCATCTTCCCAAGAAACACGTGCACCAGGGTAGCGGTGGCCACGGTGGAATCCAGCCCCGTCCTGCCCACGCCTGTGCTCACGTTGAGACTCTTTGTTTAGACCTTGAGATGCGTTGTGCCCATTTGCACCATGCTGGGTAGACAAGGGATACTAACGCCGAGTGTTGCACCCTGAGAGGGGAATTTTGCTCACCCTGTCCATGGCCTTTAAGGGTTTCCCCGTGGGGTGTGAAAGGCCGATTGTGCATCACAAAGTCATCCCAATACCGACCCCACTGAAGCTTCCCCACCCGGAGCTCTGGGCCGTTTACCAATTAACGTGTGAGTTAAACAGAACCATCCCTGGCGCTGACCCTCGGATATGGTGAGATAAGCGTTTCATTGGTGTCCTCAAAATGTCCTTCATTGGGTAGTATTTTTTTTTTTCACACCAGACTAATAAAAAAGAAATTAGAAACCAAGTACTTTTTACTTAAATGTTTTACCATGGGCTGACATCAGTTTAAAGAAGGCTGTGGAAACTAGTGGAATGGACACTGTGGTCCCTTTTCTGGGGCTGCAGGACAAACAATCAACCCATGTGTATCCCCTGCATTTTCGGGATTTTCTTTCTCTGCCTGCTTCCCTCCACTGGTCTTAGTACATTGGGGACAAGGACTTCTCAGCATTCAGATACTCCCCTGCATTGCATACTTCTTTGCATGCAGATACCCCCCTGAATCCAGATACTCCCTGGCATCAGATACTCCTATAATTCAGATATTCCTCTGCATTAGATACTTCTCTATATTCAGAAAGTCCCCCGGCATTCACATACTCCCCTGCATGAGATACCCTCCTGCATCAGATATTACCCTGCATTCAGATACTCCCCTGCATCACATACTTCTCTATATTTAGGTACTCCCTTGAATCAGATACTTCCTTGCATCCAGATACTCCCCTGAATCAGATACTCCTCTGCAGTTCAGCTATTCCCCTGAATCAGAAACTCCTCTACATTCAGATACTGCCCTCTTCTTCCATGTGGGTTTTTTGTGGAAATTTGTTAACTGTAATGTCTTTACAAAATGTCTTAACTGCTTTGGTGTGAGAGCTTGCTTTACCTTTGGGGTAAAACTGCTTTGTGGCTCAGGAGCTCCTGCTATGTTTCTTAACAACTTGAAATGAACCAAAAGCATACTCTTCCTCCTTGACAAAAATGGCTTTGTTTAATTATTTCTGAGCTTTTGTATGAAGAAGTCTTAGTGTCACGGTTTTGAAATCAGGATTAGAAAATTTATGTAGGGGGACGCCACAGTGGCTCAGTCATTAAGCGTCTGCCTTAGGCTCAGGTTATGATCCCAGGGTCTTGGGATTGAGTCCCGCATGGGGCTTCTTGCTCAGCGGGGAGTCTGCTTCTCCCTCTCCCTCTGCCTGCCGCTCCCCCTGCTTGTGCTGTCTCTCTCTCTCTCTTTCTCTCTCCGACAAACAAATAAATAAATATAATCTTTTTAAAAGGTCCTGGGATCGAGCCCCGCATCGGGCTCCCTGCTCCGCGGGAAGCCTGCTTCTCCCTCTCCCACTCCCCCTGCTTGTGTTCCCTCTCTCGCTGTGTCTCTCTCTGTCAAATAAATAAATAAAATCTTTAAAAAAAAGAAAGAAAATTTATGTAGGCTAGCGGGAGACAGTAACACAGAGGCTTTAAACCTGGGTCATAATGTATTTAGCCAAACAACATGAGCTGATATTGTACATTTGTCCGAGTGTGTGTGTACATTTATTGTCTGAAGTCAGCTTTGTTAGGATGTGTGTGTGTGTGTGTGATTGTTGACAGGCACTGCCTAATTGTCCTCCACAAAAGTTGTGCAAATCTATGGTGTTCCCAGTGATGTCTCAGCTGTCCTCAAATAGCCTTGCAAACGTTATGGGCCTTGCCAGCCTGTTGAAAACATGGTATCGAATCAACGGTTTTACATTACATTTCTCTCAACACAGGTGGGACTGGGAATGTGTGTGTGGAAAATCCATGTTCGCTCCATTCTGAATACGCCCTTTGTCCGTTTTTACATGCGTCATTATTCCTGCTGTTATTGATCTATGGGAACTCTTTACATATTAAAGGCACTGCCATTTTTTTGACTCTGAAATAGGTAGCCAATAAGCTTTTTCACTTTATTTTTAGCCTTTTAACTGAAGTGATGTTTTCTCCATTCATTTTTATCATTTTTATGTAGTGAAATTACTTAATGGTTTCTGGGCATGCTGTTAGAAAGAAATCAATCTTACTAACATTTTTTTCTTTTAAACATCAGGGGGCAAATGGGTGGCCCAGTCGGTGGAGCATGAGATTCTTGATCTCACGGTTGTGAGTTCAAGCCCCATGTTGGGTGTAGAGATTTACTTAAAAATAAAATCTCTAAAACCTCCCCCAAAACCTCATATTCTGTTCCAACACTTTTATGGTTGTTTTTTTTTTTTACATGAAAATACTTGATTCCCTAGAGATGCATGTTTGTATAGGGATGAGGAAGAGATTCTGCTATGCAATTCCCACCCTCTGTGTAGGGTATCATGCTATTATTCCCAAACCAAGTCCCTAATATTCCATATATATGTGTAATCATGTGAGAATATCCTTCTTTATGTCTAAAAAAATAAAAAAAGAGAATATCCCTCTTTAGAGCTTTCATCTGGAGTGGGTATTAAATTAAACTAAGTGCTTTTTCAGGATCTGTAGGGATGATCGTAGGGTTTTCCGATTTTTTCTATGAATATAATGAATTCAGTATGATTACATGCGTGATCATACCTAATGTGATGTAGAACCATCCTGTTGTTCTTGACTTGGGTCTTATTTGGTGGCGGGCTTGTCATTTGGTTTGGGTTATTGTGTCCATATTCAAGAGTGACCTCGCTCTGTGTTCTGTGTTTGCATCATTTCCATAGATTCTGATAGACTTTCTTCTTTTCATCCTGAGAAATTGGTTTGGCTGGAGCTACCTGGGCCTTGGGTGTATGTGTGTGTAGAGGGGATAAGTGATTTCAGTCTTTTGTTTCTTTCTTAGGGAAACAGATTTATAATTTAAAAAAACTTTATTTCCACTTCTTCATTTGAAAATCATCCACGTTTCCTGAGTTTTCAAAATGTCACCGCGTAGATTTGAACACAGAGTTTCCTTCTAATTGTTCACTGTTCTCTGGGTCTGTGGGGAACTCTATGTCCTTGTGATTTTGTATTGTTATTATGTTTCTGGTTTCGGTTCTCGAATAATGGTTGGGTGATAAGTTTCACCATTTCTGCGCTTTTCATTCGTGATCCCGGTCGTTGGCGTTCTTTGGGTTTATCTGCCCTCCATGCAGACGCGCCTTGAGTCGAACGTTAATTCCTATGCTTTCTCATCCTTTCTTATGGAGTATTGTAAATATTCCAGGCTCTGGCTTTTCCTCTGAGCTCAAGGGTAGACACGGATCATTCCTATTTCTATTTTCCAGAGAGTCACCATTTCTGGATTTTTTTCTTTCTTGTCAACGGTTTTAAAAGGTTTTTTGTGTGTTTTGTTTTGTTTTTTAACGTCCACGTGATGTTTTTGTGTTTTCTGCTTCCTTGGATGTGGTCACCAGTCTCCTGGTTTTATTGCCATGTGCAACCAGAATGTTGCCTATATCATTTCTGCCTTCTTTTTCCCCTCTCCAGTGGATTGAAGCTTTTCTTTCTGAGGAAGTTCCCTGAACGTGGAGACACACGTGGATTCTCAGCGTTGAAGGTATAGAAGATGTGAACGTGAAATCCACCTTATCAGCTGTCTCTTCAGGCATCTATGTGTGTTCTGCATGAGCTGTTTAGGCTGAGACAGGTGTGGGTAGCCGCGAGTGTCTGACAAGGGAATCGGCATGCATCGTTCTGCAGCTCAGGGGATGCCCATATATGGCAGACATGACTTGGGCACACACCCCGGTTTAAGGTCAAGCTGGCTTCCCTGGGGGCTGGCTCCTCCTTTCCTGTTCTGCCCGTCCCCTTCTGTTCTCACACCCACCTTCCCGGGCACATGGTGGTTTGCAGGCATAGCAAATGCATCGGCTTTCTCCCTCTCTGCTCCCAGGACCCAACTTGGCATCCCTGCCCTGCATCTCGCATGCTTAGCTGCAGGAGGGAGGAACGTGGTCTGAGGTCTCACTCAGGAGGTCGGCGTCCCTCTAGGCAGTTCTGAGCTCCTCTACCTCCCCGTGATTTCTTTGCTGGCTACCCGAAGGTCCCCTGACACCTGCAGCCCTTTGCTTTCTTATTGTTAACCTGGGGCGATTGAAACAGGTGTTTTATATTCTGTGCACCTTTTTGTCCTTATACCCAACTCTATGAGGTCAAGGGAGGCTCTGGACACCCCTTCATCCACGTGGGAGCTCCCCCACTTCAGCAGGTTTGGATGGGGGTCGTTTAGCCCCTTCGTCTGCTGCAGAGGACCAACGTCGGAAGCAAAAACACTCACGTCTGTCTTGCATGTAGCATGCTCGTGATATTGCACCATCAACCACCTCTGTCTGGTTCCTAGTTATTTTTGTCACCCCCAAAGGAAACTGTCATGTACTGGTTTCCTGGGGCGGCCATAACCGAGCACCACCAACGGGGAGGAGGGGTGCTTAAATCACAGAAGTGTGTTGCCTCCTGGTTCTGGAGACCAGAAGTCTGAGACCAAGGTGTGGACAGCCCTGGTCCGTGCTGCAGCCTCCAAGGGACAGTCTGCTCCATATCTATGTCCCAGCTCCCGGGAGCTGCTGGAGGTCCTGGGCGTCCCTTGGCTGGTCCTACCTCTGCCTCCATGTGTCCATCTTTATCCAAACGTCGCCCTCTTTATAGGACCAGCGCGCATATGGTCATGTCCCGCCTGACTCCAAGGTGACCCCATCCTAACCAATTGCATTGACACCCACCCGATGTCCAGCAAAGGTCGTATTCTGCAGGATTACCAGTGACGACTCCAATGTATGACTTTTGGGGGAGGGGATAGGGGGCCACAGTTCAACCCAGGAAACCACCCATCTGCTTTC